GTCAAAAAATTGATCAAACTGTTTAGTATCAAGAATTAGACAAAGTTGAATGGTTTTGAATTAATTGACGTAATTGATATCTTTTAATGTTGATGACGAGCTAAATCGAATAACGTCTTGCAAAATGTATGTATATACATATATATATGTATATATTTCGATTGAAAAAAAACAAACTTGACCTCTGATCGCTTTCTATACATCAGCATTAAAAAATAACAATTAATGCTCCTCTCGAAACCGTTTAACTTTTGTCTAAAACATTTTTGGATGTAATTAATCGTTTCGAAAATATTCCAGTTTCTAGTCTTAGGTGACTCATCCTGTACATCTTCTAAACGTTCATGCCAAATTGAGTTAGCGATATATTTTCTTCGTCTTAAATATATTAAGGCAGCAATTCAAATCAAAAGAACTAACGAAATCAAAAGAGAGTAGAAGCGTATTGTAAAAACGTAGTTGTTAGTTTACTTTGTCAAAAATAATTGTTCCCGAAATACGACGTTTAATATAAACGCCTTTTTCAATTCCGGACGATCTATATTAAATAAAATGAAAAACTGACGAAAGAACAAAAACGCGTAGATAGTGGTTAATTGTAGTCACCCGAAGGCGACACTTAATACCGCCATTTCAAATTTACAATAATTCATACCGAGAAAGCCATCAAATAAAAGAAAGAATAAAAAAGCGTAGTTCCCGGTTATTTCGTTGAAACGTTACTAATTTTTTCGACGTATGATTCTGCGCTACAGTAAAATGCCTGTTACATGAACTAATTGGTAGACAAAAGTGCTCAAATAGGAGAATTTTCAGCGATTTATTACTAGCACTGAATTTGATTCATTATTCATGACACAGTGAAATGAAATTGACACCATTTTTTTCTTTTTTTTCTAAATATCTTTATACATAATTACACAAACAAAAAGATATTAACGTCCTAGTGTTTAGATTGTTTTCTGTCAATAAAGTCTTTCGACTTGTTAAAACATTTCCTATTTGCTTTTGCTCTAAATAGTTTTCAATAGCGAGTTTTCGGTTTTTTTTATATCGGCGATGTCTGATTTTACAATACCATATTTTTGTACTAAACTCGTTGCACATTTGTCCACACTCAAATTCTTTATTTCTATTTTGATTACGATACAAGTCACATCATGTAACTTTATACGGTACTACGTCGATTTCAAATCACGTCGAATCATCATGAATTGATCTCATTCTACGAGAAGTATATAAACACATTTATACGCGTATAAACGCTTTTATTATAATAGCAATATTATAATAACAAGGTGGCGACTGAAAAACTGAAGAGTCACAACTTGTTCATTTTCAATCTTTTTTATTTTCTTTTTTTGTAGAGAAAAATATCGAAAAAATTCATTAATTATATTTTCAAATAAAATAATAAAAAATTAAAATAAAATAATAAAAAATTAAAAAAACGTGTTTGTAAAAGTAATTTTTGTTCGTATCATTCGTTTATCTTTTAGTAATCACCCTACATATTCATACATGTATGAAATACATACATGTTGTAATATGTATGAAATACACACATATTGAAATATGTATGAAATACGCAGTTCATATATTCAAACAATAGATCAATTATATGTTCGTATAAGAAAACGTTCGCGTAATAGGAATTCATACGACGAAGGTTCCGCTGTACTTCAAATTTCGAAATACCGCGCCACGATTTTCAACTCTTTCGTTGCGTCCTAACCTATACCAATACGTCCTCCCCGACGCGCCAATGATTGACGATTTATCGAAAATCGTTTGAACATCGTTCGTACAATTGGACACTTACCTTTCACAATGGCGGTGGTGGAAAAAACGGTGAATATCAGGATCAGCCTCATCGGTGACAGTCTCATTCCGTACTCCTTCATGGTTAGAACGAATCCGCTACAGGAACATAGATGAACACACCGAGAACACAAAACTCCGGTTCACTCGCGCACCGAGAACGTACTTGTATTTATCCCGTTTCGAGAAATAAGTCACTTCACAGTCTTTTTTACGCGCACACGGCACACCTGTTATGCTATTTACTTTTCGTACGATCGACGTTTCGAAAACATTCGAAAATATTTACTCCTAAACGGATGAACTCGCACGCCCGAGACACCTTCGTTCAATCTTGCGTTTCAGGAGTTGTGTTCCCATCGAGTACAATTCCGCGGTATTTTTCGATAATATTGTTTCACACGCGGATCTCAGATGACCGATCGATTATCACTTCAGCAGAGAAACATCACCGCGAAACATTCCCGTCATCCGTTGGTACTCCTTTTCTACACTTGATCATTCGCTTTTTTCGCGTGACACTTCTCCCGGCGTAAAGAAACGGACTGAATTCGTAACGGACTACCAACGCTCGAGAATCACAACCGACAAGTTCGATAATCGTGGCGGAGCGCGTCTGATTGGTCCAGGAATAATCGAATGGAAAAATCGAATCGAGCTTAACCTCTCGATAGAACCGTGCAACGTCAGATGTCAAAAAACAGTGTCTCCATAGCAACCGTCGAATACGCGCATTTCACTTGCCCATGGATTTCAAATCAGCATATATATATCTTTGCCGTTTCTCGGTTTTGCACTCGGTCTCCTTTCAAACGCGAGCAACGTCAAGACGTAATCATATTCGACAGCGAGAGACGAACAGCACGGGGACTAGCGATCGACGCGTTCGAAGGATCGATCTATCGGAACGGCGGTATGGTGGGGAGGGGGAAGGGTTGGAAAGTGGGAGGGGGAGTAACACTGCACCGCGAGTTCACTCGTAACAGGTGAATTGTCAACTAACACGGAATCACCGCATTCGTACTCGTTGGCCACTGGCAGCTCCGAAACCAGAGTGTCGCTTGCTCGAGCATCCACACGAGAATCGGCTTTATTTCTCCTACCGTGTCGTCCGTTTTCGAACACAAACATCGATGACACCGATCATCACCCTGTTTTTCCGCCGGTTTTTACTCAAACTTTCGCGCTGTGTTTTCTTTCTCTCGGCGGTCAGCGCTTCGTCGATGTCAATCTCCCCGTGACTTTTCAACGCTCCGTTTGCCGCGCTACAAACGAAGAAACAACGTGGCGATTCGCGTATCACTTGCAAAGAACGACCCGACACGGGGACACGTACTTGTCAACGGATCGCGCGACGAAAAGGCAAAATCCACCATGTACCACCGCACACCTACGCGGGAGTGTGAACACTGTGGAATCGCTCGAAAGGGAAGGAGGCCTCTGCCCCCGCAGAGATCCACGGAGATTGCCGAGCGGAGCCGAGCAGCCACGAGCGTACCGACCACCAGCATCCAACTGCACCTCCCAACCCCTACCGGCTGCGAGCGCAGTGCGCACGCAAAGCACTTGACACGACGAGCACGGAGAAGAACAACGCAGATGCGGAAAATCGACGGGAAACGTCGTCAAGATACCGTGGATCCTACGATGGGCATCGGGGCGAACCGATTGTGTTTTGGATCTTTCATTCGTCCCCCACTCTGCTTCCCTGCAATCCCTTCGAACACCGTGCACATTGGAAAGCGCATCGTTTTTTAAGCGGAACGTATGTGCGCGCCGCGTAGCTAATGGAAAAATGGGAAGCGTAATCCAATGCGAGAAACGAATAGGAATTTATCAATAGTAGAGGAGCGAGCACGATTAAAAGAAGTGACTTCCTAAAATTAGAAATAACGATAACGAGGGAGGGAAAAAAAGTAGTTCTTGAAAAGTACGGAGTTCAATTAATGGAAAGATTAAATTGGAGATGTAATTTTTCTTTGAAAGTATTATTCGAAATTGATATTATTATAAATTTGTATTTTATCGTTAATGCTACGCTCTTTTACCTTCTTGAAATTATTTATAATGATATCTTATTATAAATAAAGATCACCTAACGAACACGATATTCGTTTGAAATTAAATTATTTAGTACTTGGCATATTTTTTTTAAATAAAATTTCACACGACTGTTAAAAAAAGGAAATTTTGTAATGTAACAAAAATTTCCAATTCAATATTATCCAGTTGCGTCACCCGGTATAGTTTAATTCAACATCTGGCGTGCATACGTGCACGCAAGCAGTACAGAATTTAATAAATAAACTTTTGGTTTCAATTTATATTTCAAAATTTCTACGAAAATTATATTACAAACTTTCTACGGAAAAAATTCTTGTTCATTTTTCGATCGTTAGTAAAATGACTATTTCAAAAATATTAAACATTTTCTCCCCTATCAACAGTGTAATATACGAATTATGGATTAAATTACAAAAATATAATTAAAATTCCAACAATTTCTATCTTATGAGGAATGTAAACCAGAAACTATATTACAAAGTAAATTCTTCATTCGATAAGATATTTATATATAACTTTATAATGAAACTTTTCTTTATTTTAGAAATAAAGTGATATTTTAAAATTTTTTCAAAGTAATGGATATTTCCATATTATTTTAAGCGATGTAATTCATTAACAAATGAATATAATGTATATAGACATTAAATACTTGAAGCGTAGATTTAATAAAGCAGTCTTTCATTAATTATTCGTTATGATTTGAAGAATATGAATTATCTGAAATGTGCAAGTAATTCTATATTCAATATGTTCAATTGCAAAATAAATATTTAAGGAAAAAGAAGATTAAAGTCTGCTTTTGTTTTTCTCTTTCTTCCTCTCTCTTAGCACAACCTACCTACTTCGACTACAAATCATTCGCTACTTGTAACTTTTCAAAAAGAGGAAGATAAGAGTTTGCAAGCCACCTGCTACAAGGTAATAACTATCAAGTACATACGAAGTGTATTGTTTCCAGAAATAAATCATAACTCGAAATTAATTACCGTATGCTTCCAATTATCCTTTTCGTTTAATTACATAATTGAATTCTTTATCTCACATTTTACTGTATGAAAAAGACAAGTTGGATGCAAAAGTTTGTGTTTTAAATAAATAGATCAGTAAGAATGTATTAGCGACAAAATTCGAAATGCTTCCCTTTATTATCTTTATTTACAATATTCATAGAGCAATCTTTTTATGGCAAAGATCGATAAAAAGTTACAATCTATGAGAAATCTTCGACGATTCAAATCGTCAGTATTTTTATAAAATATAAATTTCACAATATTTGAACACAGATCTTTGTATATAAAGGAGCGAATATTCATTTCGAGAATAAAAAAAAAAAAAAGAAACGTTATGCCACTGACGGTTCGCATATCCTCTATGTTCTACATCACAATCAACGTGTATTATAATTTGAACAATACAAAATCCACGCGTGATAATTATCTCCTGTGACTGGTACAGCGTTATTTGAAAAGGAGGGTGATAGAATAATACGATAAGCGTATTATATAAAATACATGTTACGTTTATATATACAGGATGTTTCATAAGATCTGAGGTATTTAAAAAATGAGATTCCTAATTTGAAAACAATGTTTTTTTTTCAAATAAAATCCTAATCCGCCATCAAAAAATAAATAAATAAATAAATATTTAATAAGAATAAATTACGATAAGAATAATATAAAAAGATATTTGTTTTCTTAAATTTTAAAAAAGGAAATCAATATAAATTGATTTGCAACATATAAATAAGGAAAATGTTTGTAAAAGTAACACGAAACGAAAAAAAATGCTTGGCGTAAGTGAAATTTTTTATTTCAAATTGCTATGAAAGATATCCTACGCATTTATTTTCCGTTTCGATACATTGTGATTTTCATGGCAGAGAAAATCCCAGACTTGTTCAAAAGCACATTACATAGGTAATATTGCTTTCGAAGACCATTGAAAGTACACAGGTCAGCTTTCGAAATCTCAAACTCAAGGACCATTGAATCATATATAACTCTTATTGCAAACGTGTAAAATAGAACAGAGATCTCTCATTTTCTAAACATATCGTATCTTAATGAACATCCTAAATGTAGAGGGTGAGTCTTTTATCAGTCGTCACTCGGTTTTCTAAATTCTCTTACCGTTTATGTAGGATCGCGTGCTTCAAAACGGAAGCTTCGAAACGGCTGTTCGAGGAAAGTTCCTTCCTGAAACGTTCGCGGGAAACAAGAATTGATAGAAAATTCACCCTACGTGTAAAATAGATAATTAACACAAAAACGAAAACAAATAAATACACTAAAATTAAAACATATTTGTCAATATAAATTGTAGTGTGCGGCATTCTAACTTGCTTTGGCATTCTACGTATTTTTCTTCTATTTCTTTGTTCTCGTATTTCTTTGTCTTTGTTTCGGACGTACGAAACAAAAGTAAACGATTTCATCCTAAAACAAGAATTGTCCTCCGACACCTCTGCAGAAATGACATTAGGTAAAAAAAAAAAAAGAGATTTCGTTCTCCTCTTTTCTTTTTTTTTTCTTGCTTCTTTGCCGTTTTTTTTTCTGATCCTTTCTTTTTTTTTTCAACAAGGCTATTCGTCGAAGGGATTATAGAGAATGCTAATGAAATTTCCACTACATTTACCACGAATGTCCCTGTCGTCTTTAAGGAACTCGTATCGTGAACAATAGATGTTTTAATGTATATGGATTTGTGTACATGCACCAACTTCGACTGCGTCTGTATACGTATGTAACTGGATTTGTGTGTGTAGATATATATATGCATCTACACACGCGTAAAGGATGAAACGAAATGGGGCAGAAAACACAAAATGTGACAGCAAATCGCAAAGAAGAAAATTTGTTTTGTTGGTATTCATTTCTTTCAGTCTTATAAGTACCTATACTAATCACGAAGATTATGGTAAACCTTGCAGTTTAATGCTAGAATTCACAACGTAACGTGTTCAACTTGCTAGTAATATAAGTCAATATTGCTTTTTGCTTTCGAAGCTCCTCTTTCTTCCTTCTTTCTATAATTAACATACACAAGAGACAGAAGCATGAAAATCGTACGTTAGATCGGAACTCCACAATGTTCTCGTTCTGATCATTATCGAATTAATCAATTCAGTTTAAACATAGCCTGATTTTCCGATTGTCCAAATAATGTTTAAAAGAAACATCGTGAAAACAAGGAAAATGTAAAAATAATCTCCCTAAAAAACGAATGTCATCGATCGAAATTACTGTCGTCAAGAGTTTCATTAACATTTAAAAATTTAAAGCAGGACAAGGGGAGAGGGGAGGAAGGCAAATATACCTTCCGAGTGACCGAACGATACTTCGACGTATAAATGCTTATAAAACTGCGTCGCGAAATATATTACTTCTAAATATTGTATACGATTACACCGTCGTTACATCTTGAATTAGGCGAATCACCGTCAACGATTTACGTAATTTCTCTCTGTGTAAATGAACACTTAAAATTATCGAATGGAGACACGTACACACAAAAATATGATTATCTAAAATATATAATATGTATATGTGTGTGTGTGTGTGTGTATGTGTATGTGTATATATGTAAGTCGAATCCCTCACTGTGCATCCAGGCAAATCGAATACTCGTTTGCCTTACCCCAGTTTCGCTTTTCCATCGAAAAGCAAAACCGATTGAATATCCCGTGACGTATCTTTGTAGTGTTTCCAACAGGAAACAATCTTAAAGACACATAAAAAAAAAAAAAAAGAAAAAGAAAAAGAAAAGGAGGAAAAGGAAATGTTTTTTTCATAAGGCACGACACAGAAATGCGATACTCTTGACGAACTCTTGGGTAAAAATTGTAAAATACACGTTTGAAAAAATAACGTGTCTAGTTAAGGATCACGCGATCAATTTTATCCGAAAGACACGTGTGTCTTGTAGAATTCTGAAGGTATTCCCGAATGTATAAATCTTATTCCTAGTTGTACCGAACTTATATTTTTCTTTATCACGCAGTCTTTAACAAGGCACTTCTTTTTCGCGTTTCCCTTATACGAATAAATTGTTGGTGAAAAAAGGCCGCAATATTCCTAGACGTAGGTGCGTACGAAACAAGAGGAAATCAATTCCATTCTCATTACAGAAGTTACTTTGGTAATGACTAGGTCATGCACTATCGCTACGCAACGATATATCGTGGTTCCTCGCTATGTCGTGGCGATTGACTTCGCTTCTCCGTTATTAATGGTAATAAAGGGAACTAATATATCGTTTAATATTATGGCTGTGTAGACGTATCGCTCGCGCATACGTACATTAGGACTTCTAGATAGGATCTGAAGTGCTGAAAGGCGAAGCAGAGACGCTCTCGAAACCGGTCAACGTTTTTTGATTTTCTCCTTAATTCTACCTCCCATTTTATTCGTCGTTCATCGTTCGCTTCCGCTCGATCATTTAACCATTCGATCTTGCTACGCTCCTCTCTGACGCATCCACTAGAAAGAAATTCTTCCATCGTTTGTCGAAAAAGCAATACAAAAGTAAAGACAGTGGAAACAAGCATGTATACCAATGTTTGCTAAGAAAGGTTCTCGTAAATGGAAGATAAAGTACGGAAAATTATATCTCTCTGACTTGCTCGATATACGCTCGGGAGAACTCGATCTCTTCAAAGGATAATCTTTAAAAAGGGAAGACTAACTCGACACTGAACGTTATAAATTAAAACTGAATGCGGTAATTGCTCGGACGAGGAATGGATCTCGCTTTGGAAGGAGGCAACGACGACGTTGACGCCTCGCTGCTAGCAGTGCCGCCGGAATCGCGTCCTCCGCTCTTGCTGCTCACCGTGCTTCCAGTACTTTGTCCTCGTGAACCAGTCTGCTTCCTCGAAGTACCATCACTGAGACGACCGTACTCCCCGATACGACGAGACGGTGGAGGTATCAGGGAGCGACTCTGAACTTCTCTGTGCTTCGTTTCTGAACCCGACGGTTGTTTCTTACGAATATTTTCACCTTGGAGACGCTCGTACTCGTGGCTTATTGTGGAAGACGGCTTTTTCAACGAGTTATTAACGACCAACTGTTCCGTTCCGGATGATTTCTTTCGACGCTGAGCCTTTGTATCAAATCTGCCGTACTCGATGGTGCAGTTGCTCGTATCGCGTACCTTCATGCTCGCGGGCGTGTCCAAAGTCGGACCTGGATCCGATTTCTTACGAGCCTCTGTGTCGCTCAGTCTACAATAACGCGAGCTCGTCGACTTCAGATTCTTCGGCGGTCGCGGTAACGAACTGGGAGGAAGACTACCCGCACGGCGTGGTTCACCCTCTTGCATTCTCTGTCTCTGCGAGCTTCTGCCCTGCTTCTCCAATAGCATCATATCTTCGGGCTTACCATCCGACAATCTCGATACAGTGCCTTTCAGCCTCGAGGCTGCACTCGCAAACTCCATGATACTCGGTGAGACCTCGCCACCGGAGTCGTCCAATAGGCGACTCTTACTTGAGGCAGTGCTCGAGGTGCCTGTACTATCTACACCCGCCAATAATGGCTTGGATATTTTTCCTTTTCGCGACGCAGTGCCTGGATTAGAGAATCCTGGAAAACAGCAAAGTGCCCGCTGAAACAAGAGAAAAGCAAAACCGCGTTGGAAAGGAGGCCCGGGACCTGGAAATGGGGTTAGTGCTCGCTACAACAGCGCATGCACACTCCAGGATCACTTGGGACAGATATCGGATTGGGTTAGTTTGAATTAAGAAGGAGGAGGGGAATGTCTTGTTTCTCTTTTTTCATCGTCTGACGGTATACGATTAATGTACAGTTAATTGTAAAACGAGAAATCAATGGCACACAAAAATTTATATTAGTAGAAAAATACATTTTACTGGGTTTTTTTTTTTAGATTAAATATTATGATTTATGCAGAGTTCTCTTTTTACAGAACAGTAAATATGCTTTTTCCTCCAATTATCAATTTTCATTTTATTTCGAACATTATACCGTAAAGATCCGTTGAAAAACAAATACAAAATTGAAATACAAGATCTCAGGTAAAAAGTTTACTCTGTATAAATTTTGCTAACAAAGAAAAATAAAAAAATTATAAAAAGTGAATTAATATGACACACATAATTATGCAAACGGCAATACGAATAAGACAAACACAAAATAAGAATAGCTGATACATTATTAATATATTTATTTAATGTATCAAGTTGCTAAGATTTCTGTGATAAATCTGTGACGTATCAACTATTCTTGTTCATACAGCTAACCCAAATAAAACATTAAGATACCTTTAATTGTACAATTTGCAATATTTTCATAGTCGTCTGTAGCTATAAAGCTAAAGTAAACACTAAAGAATGTAACATTACAAAATAAAAAACATTACGTTGAACGCAAAGAATACATGTAGAAAAAAATAAAAATAAAATTTCATAAAAATGATCTTGAAAGAATCAAGTACTAAAATTCTACTTTTATCCCTTTTTTCTTACGGAATTATTTCTACATCTAATAACTATACATTTACTGGGATCTTGCATACCTTACTAAGTAGCTGGGAGTCTAGTTCTTTTAACTGATCATCGAGACTTTTATTCGTTTGTTCGAAGCTGCCCTGCTTCCTATACTTGTAACTGTCTGTAACACCGTACGAACCGGTACTTCCATAACCACTACCACCACCCAATACACTGCTTACTATTAAACATAAAAATTAATAATGAAAAAAATACAGTTTTTGGCTAGTTTTCGAAAAAAAACTACCGGTAAGAAATCTTACCGAGTTCTGGCGTGCTTGTCAGTGCGGTATGATGATCCGCTGATGTACTTGAATGAGACGAATGTGCAGCGGGATAACTGCCAACACCACTACTGCTACTACTATCCTTGTCATATGTATGTTTCTGAAGAACTCTGATCATAGCATCCCTTTCAGCTAATTTCGATTCTAAATCCTTCATTCTATAAAGCAGTTTATATCACCATAAATCTATTTCAATTATAAAAAAATATAAAAAGATCATGTGTGAAAAGATAATATTACCTAGATTCAAAATCAGCCAATTTTTTCTGTGCAGCGTGCACTTCATCCATATGTCTCATTTTCTCAGACCGTGCCTCTGCAATTAATTTCTCAGCATCTTGACTCGTTTTTTCTAATGCAGCTATCTTTGCGTCCCTGATCAGATAAATAAATTACAACCAATGTGCGCATGACAAAAAAAAAAAATTATTAAACGAGCGAACTTACTTTGGTAGACTGGCTGCATCAATTGCCGCTTGCCTTAGTGCGCTTTCTTCGAGATAACGTTGCTCCCATTTCGCAACATCACCCTCCAGCGACATAATTTTTTCGTCTCTTTCGCGTATTCGTCGTTTCAATTCTGCGATCGTTTCTCCATTGGAAGATTGTTCATTACCATTAGCACCACCACCGCCGCCGCCACCGCCTTCTCTTAATTCCCGTTCTAATTGACCTCTCAACTGTCTTTCTGTTTCTTCTCTTCTGTCACTGGACGCTTGAAGAGAAGACAAAGCTCGTTGAAGTTGGCCTACTCTTTCTACGTATACTTGTTTTTTCCGACACTGTAAGAAACAAATGTAACAACTTACAAACAAATAATTTGCTGAGACATAAAAGAAATATTACCTCTTCTTCGAGGCGTACGACATTGCCCTGTGCATTAGTGAGAGCAGTATCTAAAATATCTATGTGTGTACGTTGCTCCTGTAACGTTGCTCGTTGTGCTGCCAATTCGATTTCCTGTCTTTCTTTCGCCGCGGCTAATTCTTTGTCTAATATAAAAATCAATACACGGGTTAAAAACAATATTTTTGTCAATGGAAACTAAGGAATATGAAAATGTACATACTTTGAGTAATCAATTGACCAATTAATAATTCTCGTTGCGTTAATTCCTTTCTCATAGATTCCACGATCGGAGGACTGTCAGTACGTGCCGATAATAAATCTATTTGATCTCGTAAGGCACGATTTAATTCAGTTAATCGTCTGCAATCATTTTGTAACCTCAATCTAGCAGCTCGTTCCAGTTTCTCTCTTCGTTCACTCGATGCAGCCAATTCTTCATGAGCCCGATGTACCTTCGCGATTTCTTGTTCCAATTTTTGAGATTTAGCAACTTTATTATAACACCGTTCTAATTCTAATTTTAAAGCACTGTTTTCTTGAATTACGATTTGTATCATCTCCGATGGTGGCCAAATTTCACCCGTTGCAGATTCTGTCTCCTCCCTTCCTTTCGTTTGAGGTCTATGAAAATATTAAGCATAAAACATTACTTATAACAAACGATCATTCAAAATGAACTAACTTCAACAGAATTAGTTTAATTAAATCACCGTGGGGAAGTGGTTCGCAAATTGTAGTTATCCATATCTGGTTTGCCAATTCTAGATAAATCAGGTTGCGATCTTGACAATGTCAATTTTTCCATTGGGCCAGGGAATCGAGATTTATTTTTCAGTGGCAACAAGACGGACATATATGAAGGTGGTGGTCTATCTTCTGATTCACTATCGTTCTGTTTACCTCTTTCACCATCTCTCATTCTCATATCAATATTTCCTCCATTATTTGTTAGCTTACTGTAAGATGGTACTTTAACTTCTTTTGCAAGATGTTTTAATACCTGCTTGTTTTAAACGAAATAACGGACATAAGCAATTAATCTTGTTTAATAAAATGTATTATAATGATATAATCTTTTAAAAGCATTGAATATTCGTTTGTTATATATTTCATTATTTTATAATTATTAAAATAATATTAAAATAATCACCTGCGATTGACTAAGATAATCGTCTGGTATGTCTGTAATTTCTTGACATCCGCCATTATTAGTTTGCTCGTAAATGTGATCTTCATGAGATAAATTTGATAAAGACTGCATAGTAGGGCTATTTGAATGTCCTTTTCCACCACCATCACAATATAAGTAACTCATATCTCCATGTTCTCTAACAACACCCGACAACCTAAAATTAAACAGTAATGGTTAATGTTTATAAAAAATTATAAAAATATAAATATTAATGGTCTTGCAACTTTTTCTTCAAAATGTGTATTACCTTCCAGATGGTAACCATGAATTATCATCATTAGCATTGTGTATAATAAGTGTATTGTAGGAGCTTGTAGACACATCTAAGCTACTTCTATTTGATCCTACACTGGTACGGTTGCTTAAATTATCCTTCAAACTATTTCTATTAGAACCATTAATACTATCTTTAAGGCTATTTCGATTAGAACCATTCAAATTCTCCTTCAAACTGTTCCTGTTTGAACCATTTAAATTGTCCTTCAAACTGTTTCTGTTGAGCAGGTTACCCTAGATTGCAATAAAGTAGTTTACACTTATGTAACTTAGTAATAATGATGGCAATTTAAGATATGTAAGAATATAGTTAACTAACAGAAACATTAAAAAATATTTCAAAGACAGTAACTGAATAAAAATATGTGATATATTAAAGTACTAATATCCTTCAAAAGACTAAAAAGATAATAAACTAATGAAAATAAAAATAAGAAAGATAAAAATAATGAACTAAAAGAATGTAATAAGCAACATAAATATGTATGATTAATGTAAATTAGTGTTAATAAAACTATTAAAAACATGTTTAATAAAGAATTATTAATAATTCATTCATACTTGTATATTTGGTATATTTTCTTTATGACTGGAAGATCTTGATGGGCTTTGCTGCTGATTTTCTTGACCTTGAGGTTCTTGGCGAGCTGTATGTCTTATAACATAGCGATCTTCATTGGTTAAATTCTCGTTTGATGTTGAAACATCAGTTTCACTGCCACTCAAACTTTGTGGAAGACCTCCTATTAGATATATATCATACATCTTAAGAAACAATAAACTTATAATTTTCTTAACAAATTAAAATATTATTCGTTTAAAAAGTTTTGAGAGACAACAAAAAAAATAACAAACACAAATATCATAAAATTTTCTTTATACCTTGCATTGATAATTGTTTCCTTTGTATATTGTTATTTGAAAAAGGTAAGAATCTGCTACCTTGTTGCACAGAACTCATTTTTCTATTATTTCATTTACACCTGTTGTATTTAATCTGCAAATATATAAAATTAATCTTTCACAATTGTTCAGAAAATATTACAGAACAATTTTTACATTATTTATGAATAAATAGATTTCTCAAAGTTTATTTTACTTCAATATTCTTTTCACAGATTTAAATCAACAATAAAAGATCTATTTTTACAAGCTCTCAAGAAACACAAATTTATAACATGCTTTATTTATAACATTTTTTGATAAAAGGTCTTTTCATGATATATATTTCAAAGAACATTTGGAAATACTTCACGTCAAAACTCGTCGAGAAAGCGAATGGGAAAGATACGAACAATGCTCACAAATTAATCACTCTCACATCTCCAAATGTGAAAAACCAGTGAGAACATAGAACCTATTCATGCATTCTTCTATTTGACACTACGCATGTATTCATGCATCCGAAAACGAAGAATCGAGATATAATTATCAGGAGTCAATGTTTAAGAAAGAGATACTGATGTTACAGTAATAGTAAAGCAGAGCACTCTGACAGAGGTGTCAACACTCTGGAATGTTGATAATCCGGAGATATTGAATTTTTCATTGATGTGTAATATCGTAGCGGGAAAGTACTCGAAGTCTCGCAAATCCAACTCGGTACATGCATACTCGCAACACCGAAAACGATCCTATTGCATATATGATCTTATAATATTTTTATAAGTTGCTGAACTTGAAGGGCTGTATAAATAAACAAAAGAATGTACTCGAACTAAGATCCACCGACGATATTCAACATGCCGCGTTACGGAAATACCAGCAGATGACCCTGCTGAATCGATGTCCGATTACTCACATTATGCGAAAGTGCAAAAACGGGATGAGAGTGTTGCAATTATTTCAATATAAATTAATACACTTTACTGCTCCACGCACGAGAAATAAAAATTGTTAGTTCCCGCATTCCTCATCAGAGTGCGATATACGTGTACGAAAGCGGAATACGATCTTCCTGACTTCCAAACTTTCCCAACATTTTTCTTCATCTCTAGATGATGAATCACCGAAAAGAAATGGACGCAAAATGTTGTCTTCCTATCTTTTCTTTACATTGTACTATGATAAATATAACATGTTTCTTACAAATTTTCTTAGAAATTGAACTAAGTTTTGTACTTTGTTCCTAAGTCAGATATTTAAGTCAAGTTCATTGGATTTTGACAGTACACACACATATAAGCTTTATTTTACTTTCGAATAATTCTTATTTCAAATCAGACATTGTCACATACGTAGAAATACGTATGATTTAAAAGTAAATTAAATTGACAATTTATTGTTTTAATTGGTTTAACATGTGTAGTTAAGCCGCGTTCATATGATATACATTGATAGTTATTTTTGAGTTTTTTGAAAAATATATTACGATGACTAATTATTATTAAAATATTTTAATAATAAGAATACTATAATTCTACGAAGATAGTAATCGTTTTTAAAATGCAATTTAGCCTATGCTTTGCATGTTTATATATATATGATTTCACCAATTTCACCTCTTCTCGGTATACGTTTTCCTTCTGCAACTAGCATATATATATATACTATTTAACACTATGTGTAACATAACTTGTATATAATTTATATTGTGTGAGTGTAGATAAAAAAATAATTATGAATTTTAATAAATTACGACATTGTTGTAAGCTCATTTCTTTCAAATCATTACACCAAAGCTCATATATTATATCAAAATCATCTATTTATGATAAATTGTTGAAAATTACTTCATATAGGATATTTTTTCATGGTAATCTAAAAAAAGATTCTGTAAAGTTACTTATTGACAATTTGTAATTAATAATTTGTGTTATAATATTTATACATAATTGAAAATAAAATGTCTTATTATAAATGTAGAATTTTATTCCATATGTATATCACGTATCAAACATATTGTTTTCTAGTAAAACCAACTTTACAGTTTTCAACTTCATCTTCTCTTCATACTGATATTAATACTATGTCTGAAGATAATAAGAAATCTCTCACTGTTGATTATAATGATGTTCTTAAAGCTCAAAATGACAATAGTATTTTAATTATTGATGTCAGAGAAAAGGAAGAAATTGATGAAACTGGGAAGCTACCTGGAAGTATTCATGTACCAAGTATGTTCTAATATTATTAAAACCATTCTTTAAAACATTAGATAATTATTAAATTCATTTATCACAGTGGGAGATGTTACAAATACATTATTGAATTTTTCCGAGAAGGATTTTAAAGAAAAATTTAATAAGGAAAAACCTTCCAAAAATACAAAAATCATATTGAGCTGTAGATCTGGAAAAAGAAGTGGCATGGTTCAAGAAGAAATTCAAAAACTTGGATATAAAAAGTATACTAATTATCTACATATACTTTATATGTAATAAAACTAATAAAACATATTTATTTATATTTTAGTGCATACAACTATACTGGAGGATGGCTAGATTGGGAAAGCAATCAGAAAGTATAAACTAACATATACATTATTATAATTGTTTATATGTACAAATATGTTCATTAATAAATTGTTATCAATAATCAAAATTTTTTAATCCAAGCTTCAATAATATATTTACATGTATTTTAATGTATACACACACATATATATATACACATACAGAAAATATTATATAATGCATATAAGTTATAATATTTTAATGGAAATATCTCATAATGCATTCAAAGTTCTTATATACAAGTTCTGTTACATCAAACAAGGTGGAAATTATCTTTAAATATGAAATAATTATATTATTTTTTCTTCTGTTCTTGTGCTAACTTTTGATTAACCATCTCTCTGAACTGTCCTAAAATAAGATTTTCTCTCTTCTGTCGTTCTTCTTTACTAAACATAGCCAATGCTCGTTTTTCATCAGCAGAATAAATCTGGTTCTCCTTGCGAATACGAACAGCTTCCATTCGTCGATGTCTGAGGAAAAAAAAATTATATTTATTTTTAAACAAATTTGTATTTCACCATACTTTACTATAGTTATATTTCAAAGAATACCTGCTACCACTCATAACATAACCAACAGATTCATATGCAGCAATTTCTTCTGAAGTTAACCCAATTTCACCTCTTCTCGGTATACGTTTTCCTTCTGCAACATATGCAGCCATAGCAGCACCTTCACCAGGCAAAAGAGCCTTGCCAAAATCTTTAGCAGATAATGTCACATGTGGTTTTTGAACTGGTCCTACTACTTCGTCTCCACTTTCATCTGAACTTGATCCTTTCTTAACCTTCGCTCTGTCATTCTCTCCATTCTTTTCTACCCATTCTAGTTCTTCAGGTTCACTATCAGAGCTACTTTCTGATTTTTTCTTTTTCTTTTTGCGCTTCTTCTTTTTTTCCTTCTTGGATTTCTTTTCCTTCTTTACCTTCTTACTTTTCTAAAATAATGATGAAATATATTTGTAACAATACATGAGAAAAGACTGTCAAAAATAATGTTGCAATAAAAATAGTTTTCATACTTTTTTCTTCATCTCTTGTTTCCTCTTTCTGTCTTTTGGTATAATGCTACTTTGGTATCTGTTAATTTCCTCATCTTCGTCAGAACTATATTAAATAGAAAATAACATTTAACATGATTGTACAATTTATAAGAATGAATAAATAAAATATGATTATAAAAGACGTATACTTCTACGTTAATATGAATAAAAAATATCAAATAGTAATGACATGATAATTAAAGAGAAATGTTATAATTTCTTACTCTTCGATTCGCGTTGGTGATTTTCCCCAAATTCTGTCAACACCACATAACCCAATTTGCTCCCTGTCTCGTCTACGTGCGTCCATTGTCATATTTTTCTCACTTGTTTATTTGCTGACTACAAGCTGTACTTATGACAGAATTTAAAAGTATAGTCGCCCTCTAGTTTTAGTTGAGGATACTAAACGAAAATTGGCGTTACTTATGAAATTCATTCGCAAAGCAATATATTTCTGTCATTCTATCATTCCACGATTTTAATTGATTTTCAGAAACTTTTTTACGATACAATAAGGATAGAAAAATATTAAGGTAGAAAAGTGCAAGGTTGAGAAGTGAAAATAATGTCGAGATTTTATTGGTCTGCTTTATGAAACACTGTAGAGAAGGAATTCCAACATGAATTCCGACGATGTATCAAAATGTGTTTTCAATAAATATCAATAAAAAATACATTACACAAAATATCTACAAGATCGATATAAAATTATATGTCACTGGACAGCAGCATTATCCAAGACTTATAAATATACAAAGTAACAATTATCGTCGTAGCTTAATCGTATTGTTAGTAATATCTACCATAATTAATAAATATTATAATTATAATCCTCTTTTCCTTGAGTACTTCGATAGAAAAATATTCGCAACAATTTTAATTATTTAGCACTAAGCATCATGCATTTCCAAATAATATAAAAAAATACGTAGCTTAGTAACATATCGCTGAAGTGAAAATTATTGTAGCTGTGAAATCGATTCATTGAAATTCAAGGAAGTGTTTTTGTAAATTGAGATTCAATATTTAATACTTGCATAGTAACAGAGATATGACAAGGCACTCTTAATAAGTCCATTTTTTTTAGCTTTTAGCTTTTTACTTATTTTTTTTTTTTTTTTTTATAAAAACTTTATCTGTGTCCAATATTATGTCTCTCAAAAGATACATATAATAATAATACTTGACATTATTTTTATCGCTCATAATATACGCTGGATTACATTTATTACATCAGTCATAATTACTTCAATAATTCTATGTTTTAATTAAACTTTTGATAATGAGTTATTTCGCGTTAAAAATATACAACCTTTTTCTTCTTTAATAAAAATTAATTTTAAAAGAAAAATTAAATCTTGTTTTAACAATAATTTTTTGTAATCGTATATCTTGTATATGAGTTCATTGTTTGTAAATTTCAAAATTGAGATAAGACTTAAAAACACAGAGTACAGAATTTTTAATTTCACAATTGTTTCTTATAGTTACATTATCTTAATACTTTCTTGTATTGTCGAGAAATATTGTATAAATACAATGAGAAATAATGATTAACGCTATTACGGGGTATTATTGTATTCGTTGGAATATAGAAGCACCATTGATTTGCGATATAATTATTACGAAAATAACTTTGAACTAGAGTCTTCGCAAAAATTACAACGCTGAATAGAAAATTAAGGAAGATATTAAATGACTGCAAATGCTTTAATACATTTTATAGGAGTTGTGTTCTATATGTTTTGAACAAAGAAATTTCATTCCTTTAGACATTTTTCTTCCCCTTATTCGAAATTATTTTTCTGAGTAAAGTTAAATTTATGAAAATTAATTGATTTATAAAATGAATAATTTTTCATAAATATATATCTGCTGAATAAGAAAAGTTGTATCAAAACTTTTACAGTCACGTACATACGCGACCATGCATACAGTCAATATTCCCGACAATTTGACTAAATATTTATCTACAGTTTGTTTATTTCGGAGTTCAATTAAATAAATACATTTCGCTGAATTACGAATTATTCCAAGGACAATGTCCAAGGGAAGTTATTTTAAAATGCTTAGCATTCAAGATAAAATCAAGAGACACTTTTCTTGAGATTTTCACCTTTAACAAGAAAATTCTAGTCAAAAAGTACTTTGTCTCTTGTCGATACCGGGTATATCGACCCTTAGAGTTATTTCCGTGTTTATTTGACACTATGTTAAAACATTTTCAGTTTTCATGATTTTCTATTTTGCATACGTATACAGTTTTAAAAAATTTAATTTATATTCTGATTCTCTAGGCAATTTTATTCTGTATAGTGGATACGTTATTGTTACACACTAATACTGTTTTGTATTTATTATAAATAGATTTAGTAGATTGTTGTAAAATAATTCCTATAATAATCAGAGCATTTTGTATATTCATCGAATTAAAATAAAAATGAAAATGAGGAAATTTGTGATTTTATGATTATGTGATTAGAGTCTGAAAGAAAATGAAAAACATCTTCCTTCTAATAATTTCTAAATCGATTAAAAAAAAAATGTTGTATAAAAACATCTGTAAAAAATTGTCATAAATTGTCGAAGAAGTTCATTATTTTACAAACAATTATGTACAGAAACGAATCATTGTCATGTATACGTATGAATATAAATGTCGAGCATTACAGTAACATTAAATTACACTGTAAACCGTAAAAATTTCAGAAATAACAACCTTTGTAATAAGCACTTCGGTATAGTAATAGATCATTGGTATCATCTTAGATTCTCTTCATTCACTTGTAATATTATTACAAATTGAGACTGATACTTTTGTTTATCCTAGAAATCGAAAACGTAAATGAGGAAGAATCATTCTATACGATAAATAATTAAAATATAAACACATTATATATCTCGAGAATAAAATTTCTCGATATATTACTTAATCGACATTTTTGATGATTCAAAGCTGTTTTTAAAAATGTGTTTTGATTCGTTATTGATTGACTATGTTTGAACTGTGATGATAGAACGAAACATGGCAGTGATCTTCATAATTTACATTAGAATATCTCGATAAATTCAAATTAATAAAAATGTAGAAATCGCTATATCGACAAGTATAACAAAGCATAGGAATAGATCACCAAAGGTTCATTTTATGCTTTACCTTTAGATATTTGTTAGTACATTAATCCTCAAATTGTAGAATGAATTACTAAATCCGGACTCCATGAACTAATGACACAAAATCTATACCAATATATATTGAAATATATAAACAGGATGCAATAGAACATGATTATAAATTTTCAATATTTGATCCCAATACAAAATTAATTGACAGACACTTTCTGACAACTAACAACAGACAAAAATCTTTGACGTAACAACGCGCATCACTCGCAGTCTTCATCCTATCGCTCGAGGATTAACGCAAAATCGTCAAAACATTTCGTTACATTTGCTCACGAAAAAGAATCAAACAAGTGCCTCTGTGTGGTAATGATGGTAATGATGATGAATGTGTTCGTGAACGTGCTTCCTACCGGAACTTGCATTCTGTGAAAATTCCCGCTCCAACCAGCGCACGACTTGGACCATAGCTCTGGCTTGATCCTGTTCCCTCGTTGCATGTTTCAATTGATGCTTTTTGGCCGACTTGCCACATTGTTGCGGTGTTTGACCGAATTGCGTCCCATTACGCTGAACGTTATGATTGTTGCTCGGAGTTTGATTGACAGGGTACTGATTGTTCGATATTAAATTGCCGCCATTACGATTTGTATTAGCTGGTGGAGCGGTTTGTTGGTCTGCGTAGACGTTTGGGTTGATTACGGTCTTCGGTAAGACTTGAGGTTGAACGTATGCACGTGGCGGTTGCATCGTAACGTTATTCCTCTGAAGTCCGTATTGCGTTCGCATCTTCCTCAGATTCCCCCTATGTTTCGCAGGTATCTTGGAGAATGTGAAACCCTGAGGCTTTTCCCGAGTAGGCTTATGATAGGCTGTTGTCGTGGGCCGAGATTCCGGTGGTGAACGACAGTCTTGAGTAGTGTAGTGAGGCGAAGGTTCGACGTGTGGAGTATGAGATGGAATGCGCAGCTGCTCGTTCTGATGCCGTTTCCTAATTCGACATGTTATCATATTTTTATCATTACTTAAATGAACAGTAAATTCACATTTTTATGCCAAACAACGATTCGTTTAATTATCATTTATCATTCATCGCCTTAGAAAATATGAATGAAACTGTTGCAATGAAATAACTTTCGTCTGGAATCTCTACTTGAAATATGTATTTAAGTACGCTATCATCCCACTGCTTCAAAAGGGTGCGCGTCACGCGATTTTCCATGCGGTTGAACATGAAAGACATACCTCGACGTATGAAAACTGAGATTATTCTTTTCCATGTTCGCCTGAATAATTTCCAAGAGCTGTTGCCTTTGCAGAGCACCACTACGTTTTCGCTGATTAGGCGTAAGAAGAGGCGTCAAGGGGGAAACTGTGGGAGAAATATCACTGTCATCGCTAATATCACCCTCGGAGCTATTGGAATAGGGTGATGGTAAATGAGGCACGGGTCCAACCCTTCTGCGTAATTCCTCCTGCTTTATTCGATTCGTTCGCGCATTTTCACCGTCATCCTCGCTGTGAGTATCTACCTCCTTCTCTTCGTTCTAGAATAACAAATAAAAACAGAATATTTTCACTTACAAAATATATGTGTAATATTATTTAGATATAAAAATATACAATTTCTCACTCTATTTTTCACATTTTTTAATATTAAAATATGAACATATTCCTTTGTACTACGATTCTTCCTTTACATTCCAAGAGACAAATAACTACCAAACAACGACGCGTACCTATTTCATTCAGTTCTGAGAGTTCGAACACCGCAACACAATAAGAAGCTAATCCGCAAGAACCCCTGTGTTACATCTGTCCAACATCAATAAAAAATAAAAAAAAAAAAGGAGGGAAAAAATGAATAAAAAAGAAGACTCAGAAAGGATAGTCCTCCTCCCCGCGAGCGATAAATCTCGAAAGGCAGAAATGATAAATCCACCTCTAGCTTCTAGAATTGTCGGGTTACGAAAGAAGAGACGCAGCTCCATAAAAACCCCCCCGAGTCTCGAATCCTCGCCTCTCGCAGGGGCATCAATCTTACCTGGCAATGGTGTCGTGGCACCCTTCTCCTTCTAGGAACTCTACGTAAACCGTGTGCGCCGGTGTGGGCCCCGGCATTGTTGCAGGACGCGTGCTTCAAATGGCAGCAGGACGAATTTCCGGAAAAACTCGCGGCAGCAGCCGGCTGCGAGGACGCGTTCAAACAGCCACCAGCCGATCGCGTCTGGCTGGCTCTTTGATCTGGCGACACAGTCAATTTCACCTTAATCGTCTTACTGCCGCACGGAGGTACCTGGATAGAAGCGCCCAGGGTATCGTAAATGGTAGTAACCAGGCCGGCTATGTCGTCCTTTGTTATCTTCCCGTGGCCGTCGAAGTCGTACAGGGTAAACGAGAATTCTTGCCGTCTCCGGTCGCCCTCCGCTACCGAAACGTCGCATTCGAATTCCTACAATCGGGCCAAGTATCTTATAAGTAAGATTCATCGACTTGGAAGGGAATAAAATTCATGTAGGGAGAAATGAAATATTTTATTACTTGGAATATGTAATACTTTATCTTTAACTGCACATTCACAATTTGGATTACGTTGTAAAATAAATTAAGCCTTTTTTTTTAAATAACTCGAGCTCTTTCTGAAAATCTACTATTTCTTTTGTGTGTGTGTGTGTGTGTGTGTGTGTGTGTGTGTGTGTGTGTGTGTGTGTGTGTGAAACAACAAAAGATCAAACGTTGATTAAAATCCAAAGATTTTTCGAAACAAAATCCATCTTACTGCGAAAACGAAATTTTAAATTAATACACGACACACAAGTGCAGTATCAGTTACATCAAATCTTGCGAATCTTGATAGTTCAATTTGGAGCAAGATTTTTGAAATTTCAAAATAAGGCGCAACATGATAAATTCACAAGCACGTGTATTCTACTGTTCCTTTTCCAACAAGGAAGGAAGTTCAATAATACATACTTCAAAACTAAGTTGCTTCGTTGTGCTAGCGCTCGGCTGCTCGTCATTTCCGGTGGCCGGCGTAGGACTGGTAGAAGCGTCGACCGCGATCTGCGGTGTCTCTGTTTCTAATAGAATTGGCTGGGATTCCGGTGGTGAACCGCTATGAGGTGCCGAGACACCGCCAAGGAGTTCCTCCGAGTCACTGGCTTCTGTATTACCAACTGTGACCGAACGATCATTACATTTTCAACAATAATGAATAGAGATTACGCATTCATTATTTCAACAACAATGAATGGAGATCACACGTTCTCTAGTGAGAGTAAACTATACAATTCTGTTCGCTGTGTCGATTTTTCATCGCTACGTCAAATTGAAACTAAGACATAATTTAACTTAAGTTGAGAAAATAATCGACTATATGATAACGTATAATTATTGAAAGATAATCCACATACGTAATGGATTCGAAAAAAAATTTAGATTCTGCGAAAACAAAGCTTAATTATTGTAATCGTATCAGAACGCGGGACTAGGCTACGTTGTACATATTTCTCCCCATGATCTTGTTTCAGATTTCTCAAAGTTCTCATCAAAGGGAATGAAACTGTTATCTACGGTCGAGCGGCGGCATTGCTCGTAAACAAAAGTCAAAATCTCAAAGGTATCAAAGTAACATATTCCACGGTAAAGCCTATATTTATAGTCAGTTTCTGAGTGCCACTCGGTACTTAAGTTACGGAGTGTAGGAAGTATTTTTGGACTATTTTGAAGGGGATGTAACTTTGAATCACCAGAAATAAATACAACAGATCACCAAACTAATCTCTCACGATCACGTTTTCCTCGTACCAATTCAAATCCTCAAATATTTCCCATACGCGCTTAACATTATTATTAGAGAAAAAATAATAATAAGAAAAAACAAAAGATAGAAATAATGAAACGTCGTTAAAGGAGGGCTTGAAAAATCGCGCAAAATATAATGAACAAGAAAAATTTTAATCGGCGGAAGCGTGTCTAAAAATTGATGGATGCGAGTACGTTTAAACGCGTAAATTACAGATCAAAGAGGGCTGCTGTTTCATAATTACAGAGAGACTGGATTCCGTGCATAAAAGCGCAATTATCTTTAATGCATTCGGTCTATTGCTCGACCGAAATTATTTGCGCGGTGCGAGCCAGCGAATGAACGAGCGAGCGAGCGAACGAATTAACGAAAGTTCCAGCGAAAGGGACGGGGAGAACACATCCATTTTCAGCGTTTATTTCAGAAACGTTTTGCACACTCGCTGAAGGAAGTGTGATGTATCTTTAATGTGTCTGCATTACGCCGTCGTTTACCGTTACCTAGACGCCTGTGTAAAAGCATCCTACGAAATGAAACGTTGAAAAGATACCTTTACGCAACTACTGTGCATAAATGAACATCTATGAGATACGACACGCTCGCCATGATGCAACGCAGCACCGGCTTTTTAAATTTAGTAAGATGAAGTTTGAAATATCATCACAGAAGACGCGTTGTTCATTGACGGGATGTTTACGCGGAATAAATTATACATTAACTGTGAAATAAACTACAATTGTCATCGAAAGTTTTATGACAAAGTGATAATGAGAAAACTGAGATAACGGGTTTCGAATAAAATAAAAATTCAATTAAACATTCCAAGATAGAGAAAACATGCATGCAACCTCATTGAAATTTTAATAACAGTTAGTTTGACAATAATTTTTCACAGAGATAATTTTAAGCAAACTTGTTACTTGCTTTGAAGATGTGTTAAATGTACAATGATAAGATTTTAACGACAGAATCAGTATAAAAGTGTGATAGCGGCCAATAAATTTGAAACGACCTCTTCGCCACCTACACGGTGAAGATTCTTAGGAAAGAAAGCAAAGATTTTATCTAACGGTCCTTGCCACACACGTAGAGACAATTCTGTTGAAAGAATTTCCTGTATCTAGGAATTTTCTATCTATCGAATGCTGGGATAAATATTGAAAAAAGAATTTCTTCTTCTTTTTATAAAAAACGCATAGAAAGTTAACTTATTATTTTTGTCAATTTCATTTTATATTATATCTATTCTTTCCGGGAACATATTTATAAATTTTCTACAAATCCTCCCTAGTATTTTAAAATTGTTTTCATATTAATTATCACTACATTCAATAAACAATTGATAAACAAACCAGAGAACAATACTTTTATTTAAGTGATGTAGCGTGCCGATCTAGTTCTACGTATTTTCTTTTCTTTGACGTACGAGCCGATCGGTGGCTCGCTGCCTTCAACGTTAATGAAGTGCAGCTAGTTCAAAGTAAAGTTTGATTTGTGATATTGNAGAATAAGACTGTTATATTTTGTTTCGGAGTCGGCTTTTATATATCCGAGCCCTCTTTGTTTCCTTTCCGATCCTGTGATCGGAAAGGTGGACTTTTCCAAACATTTTCAGGGTCAGTTCCAAGAAGTAAATTTGACAATTGCTAACGATTCTATCTTCCGTGTCCTGCCGGTTTATTAGTGTCCTGTTTATGGTGGGGACCAATGCGATAAAGAAACTCATCGAGCCTTGGAATTAAGAGTCAAATATGACTACAATACGGAAATGTCAGTTTGAAATATGAAATACGGTCGCGGGAGGTCCCTGACGTAGAAAAAGTTACAAGACAGGAGTTTATTGTCCCTGGCTCGATGAATTTATTTGTCGCATCACATTTTGACCCTCATTATGTTCGGTAAGACCGAGCAAGTGATGTCATTAAATATCAGAATTATTTGAATTACTGGAATTTTGTTTCAAGCTGACTGAGCAATCGACCAAAATATTAAGGGAATGTTTAATAATCAGGGTTCGATAAAACGAGTTCGGCGGCAGCTCGAGTTTCGAGTACATACATAGTCGGAGAATGTTTCAAGTGCTTTGGCCACCGGTTACACGTTTCCCTTCTACGATGCTCGAACGTCTCCTCTTCGGTCTCGAGGAGGCTCCGCTTTTATCTTAATTCGCGCGATACATCATTAAGCCTGTGCAGCGTGATTCCAGTAAAATATATACTTAAAAACGTTGGCATCAAAGGGACCGCGGAGCAACGATAATTAGCGATACGAAACGCGTAATAAACGAAGCCGGCCGCTAATTTCAATTACTCAAGACCAACAACGGGCGGAAAAAAAGATGAAAAGGAGGGAAAAAAGCAGCGAGAAAACGCTTGCACACGCACGCAGAAAGGAGGAGAATGAGGCAACTGAAAAGAAAAAGAGAGATAGAGAGAGAAGGCCGGACGTAGGACAGAGATTAAAAACAGGAAAAAGAAAAAAAGAAACGAAGGAGACAAAAAAGACGAAAATTAGAAAAAAAGACGAAAAGGGGAAGAAAAAGCGGGATAATCGTATCTGCATAAAGAAACGAACGCACATACGGCGTATAATGATACCTGCCGTGTGGTAATTACGCCCGTAACTTTTTCGTGGGGTGAGCGTTAAAGACCCAAGACATTGAGCGCACCGGGGGAGAAAAAAGGGAGACAAAGAGTGGTAAGAGAGCGAAAGAGAGCGAAACAGCGAGAAGAGGAGGAAACACAGGAAGAACAAGAGGAAACCGAGATGGAGAGTAAAGCAGAGACGGTAGATGAGATGGTGGAGGGGGAGTGGGGGCAGAAAGAGAGAACAGAGAGAGAATCTTTGCTTTGATATCAAAGGAATAGAGAATAGCCACGAACGTCTTTTATCTAACCACCGGACTAATGTATGTAACGAACTCGCAAGGTCTCGATAATTAAACTCCACCCTTGACGCGCGACCCTCCCCCTCGTACGTGTGCTACATGTGTAGTCCGTAGTCTCTGTTGTACCTATATACATACATACGTACACAGTATGAGAGAGCGCGCGAGTGCACGCGTGTGTTTATGCCGTGTGTACCGTACCTCTTTTGCGCCCTCTTGAATGAAAAGCAACGAGGGAGCGGGACACAAACGGCTTCTGCTTTCTTCTTTGTAAATCACCCCTTTCTGTTTGCTTGGCTCGTAACTTTTATCATTTGCCGACGCAACAGCTTTCCCTACTCTTTGCCCCTTCGCTCCTCCACTCGTATGAAAATTTTGCCCCACGACGCACGAAAAAAACACCTATAAAGAACGTCGGTAAGAGAAGCCAGAGCTTCAAAGGCGGGATTCGCCGTTCCGAATTGTTCCACAATTTTCAACCAGTTTCTCTTTCTGACCACGCAATAGACGACGTAAAGAAGAAAAAAAACATTGTGCTAGTTTATTCTTTCTTTCATTTCCCTCTCTCTTTTTTTCCATTTTTTATACGACAGTTTTTAATTAGCCAGCTTCTATAGCTTTTTCAAATTTGCTTTGTGACAAATACATTAGCGAATTCATGGATTATTTAGTAATATGCGTATGTTTGAAATAAAAACACATATTTTGCATTGTATATTTTTGACGAATAAAATGATAAATTTTTAATAGTCTGTCGAACGTCATGGAATATCTAACTTTTATTGGAATATTTTCTTTTTCTTTAATTGATGCCATTTTCGCTTTTGTACGATGCATTTGCAAGATCTACGAACGAGTTGCTATCAATTAACATTTTTCGAATTCTGGAGCACGCCTAACTAGAAGCGCGTATTATTTTTATCCTCCCTCTTACAGTAGATGTTTGTCTTCAAGTGGAAACTGTTATGTTTGTTTCAAGAAAATATGTTTACCAATATTAAAAATTATAATCTAGCAATGTGTTAAGTATTCCGCATACAACTAAGAAACTATTATCCTTCTTGCATTGAAACTTTTCGAACTACCAGAAATTACATGGTTTTTAGATTTTTTATCTTTTTTTTTTAAATATTATAGTTAAAAAATATTAAAACAATTCACGAATGCATATTTTCATTACATATCTATTCACTACATATCTTGCTGTTTATTTACTTTTATAAAATGTCTATGTCATTTCTTGTAGCATCTGTATATATTGAATGTCTTTTTTAGTTTATTGAAAAATCGTTACCATATAACGATAAAATAGTTATTTGCTGATGGAATGCCGTAATCGATATCAATTATTCAAATATTTGTCTTCACACAATATTTTACACATATGAAACTTAAAACGATAAATGTGTATTTAAAACACCATTTAATTTTTGCTATCTGCTCCTTTTAAAACTAAAGATAATACAGCCAAATATTATTATTATTATACAATTTACAAATAAATAATATGTTCAACTAAGATTTAGTTATATATCTATAATGTTGCATAAATGTTACATATGTGTAACAATATGTTGTCTAGATAAAAATTGATACGGTAGATTTACATAAAATATGTAAATATTGTTTAAAAACAATAAAAATATATCATCATGTCGTAACATAAGAAAATATTCAAGGCCTCTACAAATTATTCAAGAAATAAAAGACCAATGACCGCGTGACAGAAAGAATTTTTAGCAGAACGTAATTGTAGATCAACGAGTAAGAAAAACGCAAGTATGACGTAACACCACGTGGGATCCACTTCTGTCATACTGCAGTAGCATCATCGAGGAACACGCTCCGCGCGGCTTACAACAAGCCGAACAAAATATCACGCCTACAACCGGACTGACCGGATAAATCCGTATACGGTGTATCCCGATCTATCCGTGCATCGCGAATTCGACGAACATCGATACCTCGACGTGCGCATATGACAAGGAAATGACGAAGGAAGAAAAACCGAAGGGATCAAGCAGACAAAGACAGATGGATAGAATCGACGGAGAGAAACAGAAAGAGAGTGGCTTACCAGAAAAGGGTCTATAGCCAGCGAGGAACCTTGCCCGCCACCACTTTACGAATCCAGTAGCCATGAGACCCTCATGAATCCACAAACGCTGCGCACACTTTCCTTTCAGGCTTCTTGTTCCGCCACTTTGCTCTTATTTCTCTCTTCCCGGATTCTCAACTGTATAACTAAATTTTCTTCCCGTTTCTCCTCCTTCTCGCAGCAGCAGCCGTATGTCACACCACAATCGCCGTATCCGACGTTAAGAGCACGATGTTATTTTCACCTGGCAATCATTCGTCGTTCTCTCGTCGTGCCCGATTTCTCCTGTGCACGGTTCGCCGTGCAACACTGCTAGAAACTGGAAAACAAACACACTCTCGCGAACTTCATACCTTTCTGATAATAATCGAGCCCGATGTCGGCTGATCGCACGATGATCGACGTGTGCGACGATACACCGGGCAAACGACACGTGTTCTCGAGGGTTGACGTAGTATTCGAAGCTGGATTGCGACTTGGTCGGGCGATCCAGTTGTCTCTTGTGTTTTTTCTTTCTTTTTTTGCTTCTACTTTTCGTTTATCGTGCTTTCCGAAGGAGAAACGTTCGTTCTCGCATGCTCGTTCTCCGATCACTGACTTAGTTACGCACACGCAGCCGGGTAACTGCGAAACGAACAACACTCGGCGCCGAATTTAATCCAGGTAAAAGCGTCGAAAGAGGAAGAAACGCGGTCGCGACGAGAGAGATCGGTCAGACGACATCACTCGACTCGTGGCCCGACTACGACTACGGACGATCGTTCTTGCCTAAACCACGTTCCCCGTAATTCCCTTTCCCCTTCCATAGGGCGCTGCGTCGTCAACAGTGCCGAGCCGTGGATACATGGGCCCTGAAGGTAGGAGGCGCGGCTTGAAACCTCCGATTCACGCTCTTCTGTCCGTCTCTCTTTCACCTCCCTCCCTCTACAACTTTTTCATCATTTCCTCTCCGTTGCTCCTTCGAGTTCGCCTCCTTTTTCTTCTTCTTCTCCGTCTAACCATACCAAATATCGTCTCTTTTACCGTCCATTTCTTTCTTGTTCTCGTAGCTTCGTCTTTCTCTGTCTCTCCTCCTCTTCGATCCCTCCTGCCCCAACCGTTCATGCTTTTCTACGTTTCCTATCCTGTCGTCTATATTCTCTCCGTCTTCCTCGTCTCTATCACCATCCTGCTCTCTATCTCTGTCTCCCTTTCCCTTCCTTCTCCCTTTTCGCCGTCGTACTCGTTTTGTCGTACCAACCGCGCGTATACTTTCCTTTTCTCCTGCGCATTTTCTCTTTCCTTTTTGTCCAGCGAAGGTCTATGAGAGCGGCGAAGAAGGATAGCTTCGCACGGCTGGTGGGGTTTTGAAGGAAGCCGATGATGGTTCAACGTGGTCTACGACGACACTAAATGTCGACGCCGCGACGTCGAATGCCACGAGTAAAAAGGGAATCGGAGAGGCCTTCTAAGGATTTAGATTATCGCGGCCACGAACCTTCCCCGGATTTTTACGTGCGGTGATCGCGCGCGGACGTTGCCCCGATTCACTTCCACGGAAAGTCGTGTTCCAAGGGATTCGGGAAAATGGGATTCATCTTAAAAAAAAAGAAAAAAGAATCTGACGTCAGATAATCGTTCCTGCGGGCGAGATTATCGTGTCGTCAGTATCATCGCTGGAATTCCGTAATTCATCGAGATGACGCACAACCGACTACCGTACCTTCTGTCGCGGCAAACTTCAACCAATGAATAATGGTTTAGGGTTATCTTCGTTTTTTACTTGTCCGCGCTTTAATCTTCTGTCCACCAGAGAGATAATCATAATTATTCTTCATATTTCAGTGCTATTTTGTAGTAGAATATTTATCGACTAATATCTTCCATTCACCACTAATATCGTTAATGATCTAAAAACATTCGTCGAATTATCAGTAACGACCAAAGTATAAATTAAAATGGTTTGGATAAAATTATATTTTTGATGATTTTCTTACATATTTCGTAATTTTCAATAATAATCTTGAGTTTTAATACATAATATCTCTATACGTGCAGAGAAATGATTTGGCTCGATGAGATCGCTCGCACCATTTCCAAAGTTGAGTATAATTTTAAAGAGTATTAATTCCTAAATATTTAATCATTTATTTTCCAATTATTCAAGGTTAAAGCGCATAAATATAGCAGTGTAGTGGGATAAATGAGAAATACTCTTTTTGGAGAGACTGTACCCGCACGCTATTATCTCCTAGCGGTGTTTCAGAAGAAACATAGGCGTCACCTTTGATAATTTAATGAATGAACTTTACCGAAAGTACTTTGTCATGTATACACAAGACCTAGGCGTCAGCCTTTCCTTCAGTCTCTCGTTAGCGTAACTCTTCGTCAAAGATATTATTCAATTAATATTCCACATTTCCGTAATTCACTAATCTGCAACAATTACGCTAATTACTACATTATACAACCCTTTTTTTTTTAGATCAAAATGAATCAGTAACAAAGAACGTAAAACATTTTAACTCTTCTGTCATTCGTTTTGAACTGTCGATATATATTTCGATTGCATTTCGTTAATGAAAAACAGCGACACCCGTGATACAAGCGACGAAATTAAAATTTGCTCGCGTGAGCAGAGAAACGACGTTAGCAAAGAATTAGAAGTGTCAAAGTCGTCATGATAATAAATCAGGAAGACGAAAACATTTGGCGCCCCGGGTAGCTGCGCCAATGGGTTGGCAAGTACCCCCTTGCTCTCCCTGTACGGAAAGTCTCTACCCACCATGCCACGCTATGCCGTGCTGTGCTGCGCTGTGCTACGGTTTGCCGTGCCATCCTTAACCGCGTAGCGTGGCTAGTTGTTTCTTTTCTTTATTCCTTTGTCGGAAAGTCGGTGGCGAGTCTCGTTTTTAAGAGAAGAGTAGAGGGGAGGAGGCAAAAGGAAAACGACAACCGCTCAGCAGGGGCTGAGGAAGGAATGGTTGGACCTGGGTTAGAGGGAGGGAGGACCACGCAGCAAGGAGAATAAAACGTACAGTTCAAAAACTCAGTACAGACTAACCTCGAAATAAAGCTGACAACTCGCTCGGGAAACCAAGGCATATCTATTAATAATAAACTGTTTTCAGTGAACTGTCTTCCTATCGTCTGGAAAGAGAGAAAGAGAGAGAGAAAGAGAGAGAGACGATTGCTCCTTTGCGAACGCGACACCAGCCAGCTTTTGCATGGTCTCGTGCCCATTCGAATCTGTCGTTCGGCCTAGCGTCCGTTTTGGTTTACGTTATTATGTAATGTTATGTGCGAATAGCCGCGTGTACTTACATACATGCCACGCTGGGTAAAATGCTGTTGCATCGCTATTAAAGAAAATTGCCCACTCGCGGCGGTGAATAGGAAACGTCATGCATTCTTCGACACGGTCATCGACGTATTGAACTGCCCGTTCGATCCGAGAACATAAATTCTGTTACACATCACTCCATCGGGAGTTGCTAGTAGTAAAGAGAATAGGATAGCGAGAAAAGTGGGATATTTCGTCAAAGTGCTTTTCTGTAAGGTGTGAAATATAAACAGGGAATCCAGGCAACTTTAGATGCTGTTCTAGGTATTTTTTTAATCATTTTGAAAAATTCATTGAAAACCGATCCAAAGTGAATAATATAAATACTATTTATTATCAGCTTCTCGCAGTGCTACCATACCGTGTTATCTCTATACTCAAACGATACGTCAAACGACATTTAAATCCAGTTTATAGTCTTTGTCTCTCAAACGTCAAAGATAACAATCTCGACCGTCTTTTATGATTGAGCATATCATTCACGGTATTTGCTTCTCCTACAAAATTATCAATGCGGTAAATGATGGCAAACAACGAATGCACTCGTTATCAATCTGTATTTTCCGTAATCGTTCTCGCAAGGTGATGTTAGATTGTTGATTTGAATTTTCCAATAGAGTTCTCTACCGTTATAAAAATATCGCGAAATGTATCACGGCAAGGTCATTATCATCGCATCACTTGACACTCGATGTGCAAGGGGAAGTACGCGTGAATTAAAATGTTAGGCGACATACTGAAATACACGCGGGAATTTTTCTGTTACGCTACACAATAATTAAACATCGACACTTAGAACAAATCGTTTTCCAACTCGGTCTTTTTAATTATTAAATTGTCATAGTTAACGAAATCTGGCACATTCTCAATTTTTCTTCAAGTAGAAACTCTATTCAGGAAATCTGAATGATAAAAATTTCTTATAATTCAAACGATTTGTTCCGACATTGCATCATTTCATTTTAAATGTTCGTTCAAATTCGAAAATGCAAGTATTAAAAATTAAGAAAATAGAAAACAAAATAAAAGCAAAGCATCATTGTTTCAGCGATTATTCGAGATAAAGAGCTTCACTTTGAGAGAGTCCGACAAAACTGCCATTTGAACTTTAAAATCGTTTCGGAAACGATCAATTCATCTCTCTCCGACTATCCGAAGAAAAACAGGAAGGGAGAAGATGAAGAAGAGAAAGGAAGGAATAAAAGAGGGAGGAGGGTCCACGACCGGATCTTATAATTACGCTAATTAGGCAGTAACGCGTAAAAAAAGCGGCGCGAGTATTTATCGCAAGGTATCGTGGAAGGTATACGGAGGTCGGCAAAGGAGGACGTCGTACGACAGAATACGACAGGAAAGGCTATAATACAGTTTTGCCGCGAGCATCAGAAGCAACAGCAGCAGTCACGGCGGTAAGCAAGCAAGCAGCAACGCCGGTGTCGAGAAACACAGGCAACTCTGACATCGGTTTCGTTGCATGTTCCTCGTGTCTGACAGATGTCTAATTTGAAAGAGATCCAAATGTAGGAATGCGTTCTTAAAAGCTTAAACCAAAGACTTTGTAACAATAAACGTGTTTCATCGCACGTATTGAAATAACTGAAGATTGAAGCAAAATTGATGATAAGTATATTAACTAAGAAGAATCATTTGCTTTTAACGCTAAATCTATCGTACGCTTGAAGATAAATTTTGAACATGTGTTTGTATTTGCGAACAATTAAATGTTCATGCAACTGTAAATGTAACTATATAAATAATTGTTTTTATGAAGCCAGATATCTAGCGGGGCCAAAATGATCGATTTTAAGTTCCTAAGTAAGCAGGCCACACTGTGCAAATTTAAACATTGAAATACAAAAGTAAGCACAATGATGAATAAAATTGAAATGAGAGATAAAAAGAAAGTATCAATTGAACGCAACGTTGACTTCAGATTACTAAATTAGTCATACTACTCGTATGTGAAGAATCTATAACAACGTACGTACATATGTACATATATATCGTAATATCAACTTATTTGATTGTCAATTATGTAATATCTGAATCAGTACAGTGTTTTGTTATTTGATCATTTTATCTTGTTTTAGATTTCGTTCAATTTTATATATGCCCCGACTGACTGAGCATCTTCTAGGATTTAGAACATCACTCTCCTTCGTGAAAATTAGCCAGTAGTACTACATGCTATGGGTATATAAGACGCGGCAACGCGTTCCTAGTCAGAACAAGGGATGGTGGTAGTTCATTCAAGCGGAACTGTTATCGTTGGTTTCCCGTCCTATTTTTCCGCGAATGTGTAATCAGCGACCAACAAACCCGGACTGAACGTGTGTGGTTGCTACCCGTCAGAGATTTTTCTCTCATCAGGCCAGAACAGCCCGGGACTGAGCGTTTATGGGTACCTTTACTGGATGGATTCGTCGGAAGGGGAGGATCGTGGAATAGGGGGGTTGGATAGCGACGGTAGGAGCGACGCGAGGGGGAAGGAGAGCGAGAGAGAGGAAAGAGAGAGCCTCGGTTGGATTACGGGCCGGTCGTGCCGAGGCGGGCGTGGGGAAAAGGAGGAAGCGGTCGGCGCGTTTGATCTCAGCCGCGGGCGCCGACAAAGCGTTCATCCACTCTCCTACAACGGCGTGCTGTCTCGCGAGCAGGAGCGCGACAATGCTTGCCAAGCAAAGCACGAGAGTGAGACAATGGATAAAGCAAGCCAGCCGGTAAGGTAGCATAATACAGAGTAAGAAGGAAGAGAAGCGGAAAGAGAAAGCTTGAGCAACGCCGGACGAATGGTGCGCCATGGCGTGATGGGGGAAGGGAGAAAAACACAGAGAGACCGAGGAACACATGGAGGGACCGAGAGAAAGAGCCCTTCGGTCGGACAGAGAGGCTACAAATGAAAAAAGAGGAACCAAGACTAACTAAGAGAAAAGACGAAGAACGGGAGAGTAACCGCGGACGAGAGAGAAGGAGACCGATAGGAAACAGAGATGATTCGTAGGAGAAAGAGAAAGAGTTGAAGGAAGGGAGGGAGGTTGGAAACGTCCCGAGGAAGGGGGAAAAGATCCGAAGATCCGTTCCACGATCTGGTGCTGTCGCGCTCGCTTTAGCATGGCACTGCCACTCCCTTGCGCTGGCTACGCCAGCTTTGCTATTAATAAATAATGCTCCGTGATCCGCATTACAACTAAAGCGATTCGTTCCGCTCTTGCCTCTTTATTCCCCGATATTTCCGAACGCTTGGACATCCGCAAAGTCCTCTGTCCCTTCCGTATCGCATCGAATCGACGATCCTTTTTAGCGAGTCCGAGCTGAATGAACCCTGGCCTGCCTCTGTTCTGGTCCGACGAAGCTCGATACGACTTTGAGGAACCTTATGCCTTCTTCTCGGTCGAGTTACAAGAGACGCGCAGGAGAGGTTCTAATTTAGAGTATTAGAGAAGTAACGATGTGCGAGCCATGGCGAACATGGTTCACAGAAACACGAACGCGTCCATTTGATAGATCACGAAACTAGGCTGTTTGCATTATTTCACATTTATGATCCACACGCAATGATGATGACGGCCATCAAGAGACAATGTATTAAATTTAATGCGAATAAAACAATTTTCAGATAACTGGACGTTAATTAGAATATCATTTCTATTAATCTTACGCTTTTTAACTTTCATATTGATAGCACTCGGAATAAAATTTTTAAGCATTTCTAAAATGCTATTATAGTTTCAAATATGTGACTTCTTGTTAATTTTATAGAATTCTTTAACAATACTTTTAGTGACAATCTTGATTAACACTACAAACGCAATGAAACATATTTGAACTCGTTTAGACATAAAATAGCAATCAAGTGAATCACCATAAATGATTCTTTCTACAAAAAAAATTAGTTTCTCATCTTCTATGATTACAATCATTTCTCTCGTAATCCCCAAAGCAAAACAAATTGTAAAATTTGATATATTATTATTTTTATATATGTATAAAATTAAATATATTCTTACCGAATTCAATTGTAATAACTCAATTTTCTCAACAGTCGAAACGATGACTTATACTTGCATCAACACGTGTCGTGCAGAGATGAGAAGTTCCCCGAAAAGAATGTGGGTCTGGTTGGTTATTTCCAATCCATTCTTAAATTTAAGAATTGGTTGAGAGTGTCACGCAGAACAAACAAAACCTAGTGGGTCGGTTACTGAGAGAAGGATCTGCTCTTTCTTTGCTCTTGTATGGAACTTTTCATTTTTGTACGTAGATACTGCTATATATAACTGAAAATATACAATTTGCAATTCGTCAATAGATGGTACTAAAGGAGAAATTTCTGTAGCGGATGATTTTATGCACAATATAAGGTTATAAAAGATATAGAAGGTGGAATGTATTTCGTCTTAGAGTCACCTCCAGATTCATCAATAGGGCTGATGCCGGCGATCCCTAACCCAGACGCTCGGTTTATTAGGAACCTCTAGCTTGGGCCAACAAACAACATCCATCCTAAATGTTCCGCACGCTGTATGCTTAACCTAAAGATCGCATTTGATCCGTAGCTAAGCGTCATCCACTTACGATTTGTAATATTCGTATCTTCGGAAATGGTATACTAAGGAAAGACTGGATGTGTTAGCCGCTACAGGCATTAAAATACTAGCGTCGCGTAGCGGTGCAACGGTGGAACTAATTTATATCGTTGTCCTTGTCACACTATCACTCTCTTTGTCTACGACGCGAATATGTCTGTCCTTGTCACACGTTTTTACTCTCTTTATCTACCGCGCAATATGTCTGTCCTTGTCGCACGCTGTTGATCTCCTTGTTTACCGCGCGAATAAGTCTGTCCTTGTCGCACACTATCGCTCTCCTTGCTGCCGCACGTATATGTATCTGTCCTTGTCCAACGCTGTCGCTCTCCTTGTTTACCGCACAGATATATCTATCCTTATCCAATGCTATCGCCCTCCTTGTCTACTGCACAGATATGTCTGTCCTTATCGCACGCTAGTGCCCTCCTTGTCTAATGACGCTAGACAAAGAGAGCAACAGTGTACGACAAGGACATCCTTCGATCTATTGAAAAAAAAATTCAACTTTTTACACAGACGTTTTTCTGGGACAAAACATACGTAGAAAGGAAGCGGGGAACCTAATTTTAACGATCCATATAAAAAAGTTCGCAAATTATTCCTCTTAATTA